AGCTCGCTTAACAGCGGTATGTACGATTCGTGCGGACGGTGTTAAGCTTCCACTGCTTTTCATTTTACGTGGTGAGCCAAACGGCATTATCGAGGAGGAACTGCCCACTTACCCCGAAGGTCCGTCAAGTTATTGTTTGCTAAAATAAGTTTATAAGGCTAACACATTATCGTTTTAGGACATATCTACACTGTTCAGACAAAAGCGTGGATGAACACTCGCGTATGGAGAATCTATCTGCGTGTATTACTGCAACAGCACATCACACAGTCGTCTCTGCTACTTGTAGACAATTTGGAGTGCCATGTTGCGGGCGAGTCTGAGGCTATCGTATCAGAGGAGCTTAAAGCTGTGCTCCAGCCACTACCAAAAAACGCAACTTCAGTCTGCCAGCCCCTTGATATTGGTATCATGGGGCCGTTGAAGGCTAAGCTGAAGGCTCTGTGGCTATTTGAGAGCACTACTGCAACGACAACTAAGGAAAAACGCCTTGCTACGATCAAACATGCAATTTCCACGTGGGAATCTATCGCAGCGGACACAGTCACAAGTGCGTTCAACAAGGCTCTCAAAACCAACTTTTAGTGCAAAATACAGTTTTCTCCTAATTTTGCCTAAAACTGTTTTTAATTCTTACATAAAAAAGAGACAACTGCTATTGCCCTGTTGTTGCACAAACGGGAAAGTGACCGTTGCATTCTGTCCGTCGGTGTAAATGGCCGGTTGAAGTGCAACAAATTGTTCGCGAGTATGTAAAGCAATACCCCTTTTCTTTGATTGGCATCGTCTTTTTTTTTCGTCAAAGGGTTAGGCTAAATTTTAGTCGGAAGCACCCAATCAGATAGGAGGTCTTCCGTAAGGGCCACCCTCCTACGTAGGACCATAAAACTGAGGGCGTTTTGGCAGAAAGGCACAATACATTCGCCGCAAAAGTCTAAGCTCGAATATTATCGATAGCAGTTTAGTATGTCGATCCAAAATCACCGGAACGGATGTTCATGAACTTCACCGCCGCGTCGGGACTCTCGGCAAAAACACTCTCCGGATCACCTCCAGGGTTCGGACAGTCGCCACGCAACGCACCGGGAACCTTCGGGTCGTCACCGCTGGGGTAACTGTCTAGCCACGTCATGTTTGAGCCGTAGTCCACCCAGATGCTCATAGCCAGCGTCATGCCGCCTACCATTTGCTTCCCGAGCTGTGCCAGGCCTCCCATCACGTACGGGTGGTCGTCGAAAAGCGCCTTCGAAGTGTTACACATCGCATCGGTTATTGAGTCTGTGCCGTTTAATTCGGCCCACGTACTTGCCGGGTTGGCCACCACGCGGTCGTCCTGCTTGTATAGACGGCGGATCTCAACGAGTTCACCTGTCTCAGTGTTATCGTCCGTGACGAACTGCGTGATGACTGAGAACGGACGAGTCGTGTCGATGTCGTACTTCTTGCCACGGCCGTAGAATTTCTTGTTGCCCATGCGGAATGGATTGAAGTCACAACCAGGCTTATCACACCATCCAGTGTAACGAGTCTCATCCGTAGCTCCACAGTCTTCGTCAGCGATACATCTCTCCTGACCGTCAGTCGAGCACGGGTGCGTCGTATAAGCTGTAGCCATGCTATTGGCCTCCCAAATGTCCATTTCCGTGCAACAAGCACCGTACTTTTTTTCCAGGTTCGCCTCGCCGTTAATGAACTTGACGTCTTTCTGGCACTGCGCGTCGCAGTAACCAGTGCCGTATTCAGCACCTGCGCTGTTGCCCGGGAATCGCGCCATGCCGCCGTCGGCGTCCATCTTTGAAAAGTAGAGCGCGCCATTGGAACCACAGGGCAACGAGGACATATCGACGTCGAACGTGAACTCCTGGTTGAGCAGCTGGAACTGCTTGTACTTCTTTCCTGACGCATCCAGCATGTACACACGGGTACCCACACCTCCAGGCGTCTCGAGTTTCATCTTCAAGGCACTACCAGACGTCGTGATTGCGTGCTTGCCCTTGTAGTCGGCGCCTTCGAGACCACAGATCTCTGCGCATTCTTTTGGAGTCGAGCACGTCGTGCTGTTCCACTTGCCATCGGCGTTGCAGCTCTCGTTTGTTCTAACAGCGTTCATCTGCCGCCAGTTGGCATCGATCACGACTGACGATTTCTCAGTGATGCAGTCGACAACCTTGGTGTCTACTTGGTCCACCTGGGCTAGCACGTTGGTAACCTTAGTGCAGACCTTCGACGGCAGTGAAGGGTGTACCTCCGGGACGTTGGTTCCGATTTGTTGAGCCAACGAAGAAGCCCCAAGCAAAGTGACCGCAACAACAGCGAGTTGACTGGTGGATCTTGAACTGCTCATGGAATACAGAGTATTGGCGTGTGAAGGAGATAAGGTGAACTTGAGCAGTAGATCGCGAAATGGAAAATGGGGACTAAGCACGTTGGCCAGTTAATCCACAGCCCGTTCTCATGAAATTGTCCTGGATCGCATCAGACATGCAACGAAACCAGCAGGTTGATTCCGCGGATGCAAAAGCAAGATGCGCTGGCGCTTTATACATGTAATAGCCAAGAATGCTCTTGTTACCGATTCCCCCTTGGTAGTAATGTCAACGATGGGACTACCTGCTTAACATGAATAAAGCGATTTGAATCTTACAAATTCAAGTTTGTTTTCATCTAACGTTTTGGAAACACAGTTATCTTATATATAGTGTGAGGACCTAGAAACGCAGCAGATGCTCTACATGATATACGTAATATATAGAGCCTTTGCTGCCAGATACACATTATGTACCTGGTACCCCCCTGTATTCATAGCTTACCGATCGCATTAATCGTCCTTGTGGCAATTCTCGACTTCCTCCTCGTAGTCAAAGCCTTGTTGTTTCTCGTTTGAGCATCAGAAGCATCAGGCGTTGGTCAACGACGTTGCCTTCACGTATCGAAGCCGAAAGACTCAATGCGTCAGTTATATTCAATTTCGTAATTACGGCTTACCGGACAGTGAGATGACAGAAAATGCTTAATATGTATAAACATTACATGCATGTTGCGATAGGAACTCAAAACTGAGAGTAATACGGGACCCCTAGAGAGGAATAATGTTGTCCTTTCACGCTGGGACCCAGCACTGGTTGTCGGCCGTTAGATTATGGTAAATACATGTAGTGTATGAATCGTCATGTAAACACGCGATATTACAGACAATCCTCTCGATAGTGGTATCCCAGATAGTGATACACCCCAGCCAGGTGATACACGGCTTACAAACTCAGGTCCAATATCCCTCTATCCTCTCGTTAGTGGTTAGTGACATGAAAAGCTTGGATATCACTTATCTAAGGTCGTTAACTATGGTAATGAACAATAGTCCAGCATTGACTTTGCTGCTCGCAACATGTTTGGTTGATAGCATGGCCAACTAGGTAACTTGACAGGCCTCCTCCGTTTAGCAAGCTTGGTTAGTCATGGATCTATGGACGTATTGAGCTAGTGCATATAGCCACTACTTCACGATCGAATCGCAGCATTCGAATTGCACTGTTCAAACCGCTCACTAGCGATCGCGTTGTACTGTACCATCGACCTGGTACACTCTGGATTGTGATAACTCCAGTTTGTGATAATTTGGTGGTTGCCCAAGGTATCACAGCCGAGGGGATTGTTTGTCCTTTGTGCTGGAAGTGCTAATCCTGGTCAGATTCCGTAGAGGGGGGCGATAAAGGCGAGTGGATACATTGGACGCGAGTACAAACTGCTGGCTTGGTCAACGCTGATTGCGAGTCGCTAACCTTTCTTGTGTGAGTCTACCCATACTCAAAGGCCTTTTGAACTCTTAACGGTGAGTTGGTTCTTACATGCAATGTACGCCAATAATGGCAGCCTGGCCAGTTGAGTTGCTTGTACATCGAGTGAAGAAGGAACAAACATGAGTGGATAACTCCCGGAGCCATGCATACATGTAATCATGACGAGCATTAACAATCGTGATGGCCCGTGTGAATTTAGATATACTGTAATGTGAGGGATTTCTTTACATTACCTGTGCATGCTGCTTCACGATGTACGTAAGTATGTGCGAGGGTCCCTCACTGTGGGAGATAGGAAAAGCACTTACCAATACATCCACTTATTAATAGCATTGGTGTTACAAAAAAACGCACAACTAATGATAATTGGTTAGTACTAGGGATAATAGACAATTGTCCTGGTACTAAACACGGTATGTATTACATTAGGTGAGGTAAACTGTACTTAAAGTTCGCGAAGTTGTACTCCGGATTCATCAAGTTTCCACCATTTAATCAAAGTAAAGGGCCCCGTTTTGCCAAATTTACCTATTTAACTGTCAAGGTCAAAACTGGTACTTGAGTAAATTGCAGTACTGTGCCAACAAATAGAGAGCTATTACTGTGCTGTACAAATTCCGCTGTGACAGTCCATACACTGCAAGCTAACTGTAAACATGCGGAGTCGAGCTTCATGCCTATAGGACAGATGTCTGAAGCCGTCTTTCCAATTTGAAAAATGGAAAGCCGTATCTACAAGCAAAAGGGAAAACATAGGTACGTCAAATGAGGTTAACGAATGTCAGTAGGTGTATGTCGTGTTTGTCAGTACATGTGCCTATGGACAGAAATTGTTCACCCGGTATCGAGCGCGGCAAGACCTCTCGAATCGTGGGAAATGGACTAGATTTCCCACGTCGTCTCACGTCTTATTAAATTTCCAGCCACGTCGGATTTTGAGTTTCTCCTACTAGCTTTAGAGTTTCGGCTCAATTCTTACCCATGCATTGGCATAGTTTGTGTTTACTTCATAAGGTGACTATTTCCGAGATCCCAAATGAGCTCTGATCAAGCTGCCTATACCCTTTCAGCCAAGACATAACGTCATGTACGGTCTTGAAGTTGCTGAACGGAGTCTTGAAATCTCTAAGTCATTTCAATTGCTGTATCAAGTTCAATGCGAACGTCAAACGAATGAGAGCTACGCGCGTGCACAATTTCAGCTCCCTTATCAGAAACGGATAGCTGTCAAATACACAAGAAAAGACGGGTGAAATCGAGAACACCCACAAGACATTCTGCACGCTGACCAGCAGATTACGGTCTCGATTTTATATGAAATGTACAATTCAATACTTCTTTACTGAATCCACTATGCGCCGAATGTTCCCACATCGTCCAATTTCTAAAACCACCTTTCGTATCGCATAAAAGACTGGTCCTAAACTTTAGGCCGTGTTCGACTATCGGATGCTGTTCGAGCTGGATCTGAAAAGACTGGATTCGTTCAAATTGCTGGTTTCGAAGTTGCACGTATTGTGAGTTTCACTTTTCTTGACAGGTAGAGTGTTAATTCACACCATCGCCGCCCTAAAACCGCGGAGATGAGACAACCCATAATTAACATGGAATTAGCTGATCGTAGGACATAACTAAGGCTGAGAAGGGAATAGAATTATGCCAGAATAATCGTGTCAGAATTAGCTTTCCATAGAGCATAATTAAACATAGAATTATGCCAGAATAATCACATCAGAATTACTGAAACGCACAATAAAAGGTACTTCTTATCCAGCCCGATTTTAGTCAAGTTTGAGCCATTCTAGATCGATCAGATTTTGGGCATTTTTTCCATCAATTTGAATTTAAATTTGTTGCGGTTAATAACGGTTACCTTCGCTCAAGTTCACGCACTTCTGCAATCTCGCCTGCGGATCTCGACCCTCCATCAAGGAATGAGCCCAAGGAATGAGCTCATGATATTTGAAGGAATTTAAACTGACACCCCTTCGTGAAACGGCTTCAAATGCAGAAAATGGCACTTGTTGAACGTGCTTAATCGCTTAAAAAAAAGTTCCTCTACTCTAGGGCAAACGCTTAGTTCTTCGGATGGATGCTGCTTGTAGCGAGATGCTTTATTTCTCATGGGATTTCACAAAGAATGCTAATGCCTGGCACCACCGCTCGGATCCACGCGGGTCGAAGTGGGGCTACCCAATACTGCTTGATGCTGCTAAGTGTTGCGGAGGTCTTCGTGCTCGACGCTTAAATGTTGTTGACTGTCGACACCTGGCCGATCGCCGCGTCGAGATCACGGGTCCCGTGGACCGTAAGGTGGTCATTAACGCGCTCAACTCGGGCTCCAAGTGTTATATGGCCGACTTTGAGGACTCGACGGCTCCCACGTGGTTCAACCAGGTGGACGGCCAGGTCAACCTCATCGATGCCGTTCGCAAGACCATCTCGTACACGCACCCGCAGACAGGAAAGAAGTACATGCTCAACGACAAGATGGCTACGCTACTGGTGCGTCCGCGCGGCTGGCACCTGGACGAGGCTCATGTGCTCGTGAACAACCAGATCATGTCTGGCTCGCTGTTCAACTTTGGTCTCTACTTCTTCCACAACGCACACGAGCTGCTGGCGCGTGGCTCGGGCACATACTTCTACCTGCCCAAGCTGGAGCACCACTTGGAAGCCAAGCTGTGGAATGACGTGTTTGTGGCTGCTCAATTGATACAACCCGCAATGGTGACGGTATTTTACTCGTGGAAAATAGTTTGATCGACGGTTTTGATCGTGGAGATCATAAGCAAGTGCTAAGGCAAAACGGCAATAACGTTTTTCGAGTCAAGTTGCGTTCTTTCAAGCGGTTTGAGATAAACGCTAAATCCATGGCGCATGCTGTAATTGTGCTGCAACTAGCCTTTGGAGCCAAGATGAGAGTGTTTAACGCATCATCACTTGCTGAAGATTCGAGTGTGTGTATGCACGCGCAAATAGAGAATGGTTTCATAGAATCAAGACGACTTATGATGCAGCGACTGGGTTGATGTGGTGAGCGTCGCATGACTGAGGTGGGTAATCAGAGTAATCTCATAGCGTCGCCACTCAACCCGCGGTCGCTAGTGTATGTCGCCGAAAGCATCCTGCTGGCAATATCGCTGGGTTTTCTGCGGGAAGACCCTCGCTTGAAGGAGCGCTTCGAGCGAGCATCTTCAAGCAAGACGCGTCGGGGTTCAAGCTCGGAATGGCGAGAGAGAAGAACAACAGCGCCGCCAGTGGCAGCTGAGTGAGCAAATCGGAGCCTTGCCGTCATCGTCGCGTCGAGGGGCCACCGCAAGTGAATCATGGTGTTACCGCCACTGCCATCATCGAGAATATCCGTCGTCTCTTTGCCGTGACACCAACACAATCCCGCCGCCCTGCGAAGACTGCCACTGGGCGGCAGTGATTGTAGCCATCGCGGCAGCGAGTTATTAATGGATATTTGTAGCGTTGGGCGAATGGCATGCGGCGATTGGCGCAAATAGTGCCGTAAGTCGCTAGAATGATGGTCAGCTCAACAATACCTACCGGAAATAATAGTATCTGTGTATAGAGGTCATCGTGTTACACAAGTGATTTGACCCGATTAAAGTCCAATGTTGTATCGGCGTTTTGATAAATTAATCAGCTATCGCAGAGCTCCGAAATTAGGCATCGTCCCGTACAGGGCGACTTGTGACGCCAAGGTTTACGCAGCAAGGCGCGCATGGCCAGGCCAGCTTACGCACATTCGGTTTCTGCTGGAAGCACTCGATTACGCCGAGGCGAGACTCCCGCGTGGAGCGTGATGCCCGCTCCCTCCATCCATCACTCCCCAATTGGCCAGCTATCGCATTGATACGGCGGCGACAACGCTTGCAACACTGAGAACAGTAGATCTACGACAAGGATGCTGACGGCCCACCACCAAATGTATCACCAACACCGCCACTCGAGCACAGGCTCGTCCAGTGGAACAACCTCCACCGCTGGCCGCAAGCGCGCGGTACCAACAACGCTACCCCCACTCGCAGCTCTCCTCGAGCAGCTCTCGCTGCGCGTCTCGGCCGTGCGCCTCAGCAAGCGCGACGTGCGCTACGAACTGCACGTGGAGCACGCCGCCTCGCAGACCCGCTGGCGCAAGGCGCGCTCCTTCGACGAGTACAAGTCTTTCCAGTCGCAGCTGCTGGCTGCGCTGCGCCTGGGTCACTTCTGCCAGGCTGAATGCCCATGGCTATATACGTTTGTCAAGAGCTACTTCCCGGGATCCGCGTCGCTTTTCGGCTTCGGTGGTCACAGCGACTGCGCCGTGGAGAAGCGTCGCGACGCACTGGAGCACGTGCTGACGTCGCTGCAGAAGTTCGTAGTGAACCGACAGAACGCGGCATCGTGCTCCATTGTGGCCAGCAGCATAACGCAGCTGGTGGCGGATTTCATCCTGGGTGACGTGAGTGAGAAGCGTCACCCGCTGAACGGACTGTGCAGCAGCAGTAACAGCAGCTTCAACCTCGGAAGTTTGCGTGACAGTGTGTGTTCGTCCATGTCGTTGACGTCGGACGAGGGCGATGAGCTAGCGGATGAAGCGGAGGATGCAGCGGGTGTGTGCACGTTGTGCAGCTCGAGTCTGGACGGCGAGGCGTTTGGTGCGTCGACTTTTTCAGAGACGGACAGCAGCTCATCGAGCCACCGCAGCAGCGTGCTGAGCTACACGACCTCGCTGTCGTGCGGCCACCAATTTCACGACGAGTGCATTGTGCCGAAACTGAACGAGGAGATGCGATGCCCAACATGTCAAGCAGAGGTTGACTCATTCTAAAGCAGACTCCGATCTGGAATACTGTTCTTAGATATTTATTCATGCACAGCGCATGGCGAACTTGTAAGCGCTTCAACGAGGTTAACAAGATACTTATGTATGAGATTTGGAATTTAGTTTTGAGTTTTGAATCGGTTTAAAGAAGTAAGAGTGTGCTATT